TTAAAATCCAATGTCGAGACATCAACTCACTCAATAGCAAGACTATAGCGGCGGACACATTGTTGTTTACGTATCTTCAAGAAAATGTTACCTATCGAGTAATGAATGATCGACCACTTGCTTTAAAATTCGACGCAGTGTTGTATTACTCTTTGATGTGTTAACTGCACATATTAAGTAATTGAAATTTATTTATGATTGTTCGATAAGCACAACTAGAATGACATTTTTGGAGATGCTAAATTAATATTTTTTTTCCCATGGCAAAAATATTTTTATATAACAATACATATAATTTTCTATATTTTCTTTAACCAGCGAACTAAGCTGTACCTAGCTCCTAGTTGAGTCTATGATCTATCATAATGAATTTTTCGAGTTTTCTTGACTAATGTATGTGTTAATAAAAAAAAAATAGAAAAAAAAATATATATAATTACATTTTTCTTTTGTAAAATAGATTAAGTGAAAGGTTTCCTAATTTAAAAATTAGTTACTGGCATAGTATTGGAAGCTAATCAATAGTTGTCACAATTGTGGAAAACATGACAAAGTCAGTGAATTTGATCATTTTTCCTGGAATTTTAAAAAAAAAATTTTTTATTTTTACAAAGAACGTTTATTAGAAAAGCTATATGTACAATAAGTAAATATGTGAATAGGAATAAAATAGACAATGATATGGCGGTGAGGAGAAGCTCACATTAGAGCCACCTGAACATTAAATGTATGTTTACTACCTTTAAACGAGATATAGTAATTTTTTTAAAACTGGCTGAAATATCATAGAAAAATCAACGAAATATGACTATTTTAAATTTATATCAACCATTTAATGGGATGTACATTACTTATTAATCGTGTTATACACAAATTGTATTGATGAGTAATAAAAAGGGCAATTAAAACATTCATCGACATTTTTCGCAGGGTTGAAAAATCCTAGGTACTTCACTGGCATGACTAACTCTTTGATAATATACCTATAGTTAAATAATCCAGAATAAATTGCCTATCGGTAAGTTTTATGACATAATTTTAAAAACCAACAACAAATATACAGAAAAGGCGAAATAAAATAAACAGTTCTATAATACTAAACCCTGCATTTCATTTGAACTTGAAAAAATTATGTTCTAAAGCAATTCAAATAATACCCCATTATTCTATATGAAATTTAAAATAAATTATGTTAGCATGCATATATGGACTTACGTCTAGTGAAGGGTTAATTATTAATTGATATTTGCAAGCCTATCTAAAGATTTCCTTATTACAGAAACTATAATATGTAAATTAATGAAATTTACCTGGTTTTAAATTAGTATTCATTTTGATGCAAAAATCATAAAAGTCAAAAATGCTGAATTACTATTTTTATCGATTTTTTTCAACTCATGACCAATGATTATTTTATAATTTATTTGTGATTTATATTCTAAGGTTAACAATCTTTAAAAAAAAAATGCAATTGTTTTTTAACAAAATAATAGAAATTAGATTCTTGCTTTAAAATTTTTATTTAAAATATAATTGTTTTTAAATTTTGTTAATCTATTACTTTTATTTTAATTATTATACTTAAGACTCATCTTTTTTTCTTTTCTGCTTTATTATTTAAAATAATTATAAATTATAACTCTATTATTATTTTTTAAACCAATTATTCAAAATTTAGGAATTTTATTTTAACTCTTATTAATGAAAATAACTACATGCTATATTTTTCAATAACATTACCCCTTTTATAATGTTTATAATTAAAATTCTATTAACATAAGTAACATTTTGTAGTATTATTGAAAACTACAAACTCAATCTTAATAAACTTCTTGAAACAAATGCTCACTATGGTCCTTTGCATCCGTTCATTTTAACGTTTAATATCTTAAGCCACTTAAGAATTAAGTTATGTTATATTTTAAAAACAGTTAAAATATAAAATATATATAAAAATATACATTATATATTGATTTTTAATAAATATAATTAAATTATATTATTAGTTGAATTTTTTGTTTAAACAAAAAATTCGTTAGAAATGCTTTTAAAAACAATTTTCTTGTATATTGTTGAATATAAAAAATAATATTCTTATGTTTTCTTTGAACATGATTTTAATAATCATTAATCGGAAAAAATTTGACTTAATTTATAAGTAACGCTGAAAAATTATTCAATGATTTCCTACTGTTCTTTTTAAAAATCTTATGACCATAAGATACTACATAACTTATTTTAACTATTGTTCTAATAAATATTTTTTTATAGGTAAAATTTGTAAAATGTTTTTATAATATTCAGTATAATATATAATTTCAGTTGGTAACTTATCAATAGAGTTACTTTTATTTTATTTTTAAATTGCTCCATGAAAAGTGAATATTACGACCTTAACTAAAGAATATTATTTGACTTATCAGGTCAAAATTAAAGTTTACTTAGTGCTATAAAACACGCTATTTTCACAGAAAAAGTTAAATTATACTTTGAATTAATGATACTTTCAATAATCTTTTTGAGCCTTGATTCGTAGTTGAGTAGCTATTGATTTTACTATGCTGTACTTTTTTTTTTTGTGTGTTCGGTACACCCGCTCTTACTGAATCGATTTTACTCAACGATACGTCAAAAGATCACAAAACGTATCTAGTTGAAGCTATCAGGACCTAAACTTTAAAAAATTGGCCCCATTGAAGAGAAAAATTTAAAAGATAGATTTTTAAGTTTTACATTACAATGCACATACCTTTTTGAAAACTAGGCGGATTATTGTGAAATTTTTATTGATAATACTTCAAATATTTGCCTTTATAATGTGATATAAATAAACTAATTTTTTACGATTGAAGCAATATTTATTTATTTTATTGGAACACTAAAAATAATTACACTCATGGAAAGATATGCCAGGTGCATAGATATCACGTAATTGTACCCGCCCTTCTCTTTTGGATTATGTTTTTACCTGATACTCGGTTTGTAATCATTTTTTACTCTGTTTCAATATTTTCCCCGGCCTTACCTTAAAAAATTATGTCTCACGAAAATATTTTTAATCGTAGTAGACCAGTACTCTGTTATTATTATCTATCTACAATCATAGATATTACATAATTTAACATAAAGTTGTAATCTTCGAGTAGATATAAATTCTACATTTATTTACTTTCCGGGAATCACAATAATTATTTGTGTATACAGAATGAGTCATGAAGATATGACAAATCCAATAACTTTTGATCTAATTATAATTTTGTTGAATTTTTTTATGATTAGTGCACTCTTATACTACATTATATATTATCGCAGTGGTATTAACGTATGATTGGTTAGTAGAATTATTGTCCTTAACATTATATTATTAAGTTAAACTTGCAAAATAAGTAGCTTAGGTTATTTTTAAAATTAAATATTAACCAAATTTCTCTAAGTTTGTATTTGATTTCAAATTTGACTATAGAGTATGTTAGAGGTTGTACTTGCATTTAATATCGCCAATACCATATTTGGTAAGTTGTTATGTGTGTAATGGTAATAAATTACTATACATATATTTCCTTCCATTTATTATTCTTCAATAGCTAAATGTTATTCATGTTAAGAATAATGTTATATACTTGGTAGTACAAAATTACTACTTATGTTAATTAATGAAATATCAGGTGATGTGCCTGATTGGAAATTTGGCATTAGTACTTTTTTTTTAATGTATATATCTAAAAAATTTAGTTGATGAAAACTGCTCTTAATAAACATAGACGTAACTAAAAAAATGTTTATTATCTTTTAAAATTATTGAGAAGCTTATTTCAAGCTTTTAAGGATTTTTGGCTCCTCTTATTACGTTGACTGTTTAATTTTCAAGTAGTATAAACTATAATTATTACTTAATAAAACTTTTGTTACCAATGTTGATATGCGACTTATTTTAAAATACATCAGTGACAGGGTGATTAGGCGAGGTAATTGCGTTTTCAGTCAGAATGCGTATCACCATTATAACCGACAATACGAAGTTATTATATTTATCGTTACTTTCAACATATAATAAATATACTAAAATTAGTAATCAGAAGTCTGATTCGGGCACGGCGCCAGAATCATTTCCCTACGGGGCGGAAAGGGCAAGACAATTTTCTGGAGGTGTAATCATTTTACTTTTATTAATAAAAAACAATTATAACAATGAGTTTAATATTTATCAGTGAAATAAATGTTAAATATAAAATACAAATTTAATACATATAAGTAACATTATAAAATTAAAAATATAACATGTTATCTAAAAATTTGAATAGTTAATAGGTGATATCTAATCTGTGGTAATAATGTGAAACCGACTACTACAAGTACAACGGTAGAATATGAAAATAAAAAATAATCTATAATATCTAACAAGACTTTTGACAAGCTTTTGTCAATCAACAGTCTTTTTTTCCGAACCAAAATATTTCGGGGGGAGAAGGACAAAAATGTTATGCTATGAGTGGCGACTGTCCATTCTCGTCCCTCCTTGACGCCATTTCTTGTTTGAGGATCTGTATTATACAACTAAGTGTTTGATAAATATTTTACCTTTTTGATTAACTGTTAATTATCCTACTTAGTATGTATCTATTAAAAGAGACGTTAAAAATATATAAATAATACATTATTATTTGAAAAAAAAATAATAAGAATATTTTATACCTGAAAAAAAGTTATTATAACAAATTTTACATTTTTGTACAATTGTTAACACATTACTCATTTCTTGGGGTAAATTTGACATGTAATTTTTGTTGAAATTCTATTTCAAATTTAACTAATTACCTTTTTGATATAAAATGACATGAGGGAAATAGGATATAACAATAGCAAATAACTAGAATGAAGCATATATAATAAATTATTTAGTTAAGCAATTCGTCCACCTAACCCTATAATCTACAAATATATAGGTTATTAAATAGATCATAAAAGTTATTATTTACTAATGAATGGATTAAAATTTTTAGGCTAAGCAAAGGGCAACAATAAAATGGCTGCTGTCCAAAGCATACAACAACAGAATTCCAGACAATGTCATCGAGCCATTTTATAAAGATCATGATGTACGTAGTATTACTCAAATTAATTACTGTAGAAAATTTAATCATTATTGTTTATTAACATTTTTAAATAGAATCAAGAGCATTTAAAACCACCTATAGTGCACTCGCTAGCTAATGCTGAACTGTATTGTTTGGCTCTTGGAAACATATATTCTGACCCAAATTATCATAATCTCAATCATTGGGGTGTTATTCAAGCATTGAATAAAAAAGGAGTCACTGTGAATGATCCTTCAGTCACAGAAACTGTTCTTATTCAAACTACACCTTTAAAACTTGTAAGTTCTATGATATTTTATATTCTAATAAATAAAATTTAATTTAATTTAATAAATATAATCTCGAGACATTTCTAATTTTACAAAAAAATATATTTGATGAATTTTTACTCTCTTATATCATACAATAAATTTTAAGTTATATATTCTTAATTATAAATATATCAATACTGTTTTATAAAACAGAAAACTAAAAACCTGATAAATGAATAAAAGTAATTTCTACTTAACAGCAATATTTTGTATTTTGTATACATAACCTGTAAACATTAAATTTCATAACATTAAACATTTAATAACACTAATAAGAAATAATTCTGAAATCTATTTTTTTCCTTTTAATAAGCTATGTTTATTCGTGATAGTGATTTTTGGTAAATATTTGAAGCCAGTATTTTCATAAAGTATAAAATTAAAGTTAAATTAAAAATACGATTGAGAAGTAAACATTTGTGAGAAACAAACAAATAAAGCCATTTTAAGCAGTCTACTTAGCTCATTTAGAAATGAGTCATGTATTGGTATGTAGATATAGAGGTTCAATTCTGTTACATCAAAATATGGAGTTTTTCCCTTCCTCTCTAACAGAAGTCTATTATTTAAGCTAATAGCCTAATAGTTTTTTGAATATTTAAAGAAGATATTAAAGATAAATTTTATACTTAATATATGTTTTTTAATAAAGCAATAAATAGAAAATATGACATTGAACCACAAAGTGATTTAATTTTAAATTCTATGAATTTAAAATATCTATTTTTCTTATAAAATCATTATATTATTTTTTTATTTTCATAGAGCGCTCATATGGCAATAATGGAAGCTGTTATGACGTTATATGCCAAAGAAGTAGCAACTCCCAATAGAGTTATGGCTGCTATACAAAGACTGAATCATGTCCCTCAAAGAAAAACAATCGTTATGCCTGAAGATTATGAAAGAGCTATATTAGTTTGGGTTAATCGTACTGTTGAAGCACTACAACATCGCATTGAAAATTTACAAGTATTAAAATCTTTTTCTGTGTATATAAATAATAAATTTATTTTTCTCATTGATTATCTAATGTTGATAAATCATGAATGTCTTTGGAGAATATTTTCTTTGTATCTTACCAAATTCAAAAGAGAAGTTTATCTTTCTCTTATAAACTTTTTTTACTCATAAATAGTTGGAATTATTGAAGTGTGATATTAAAAAATATTGTATATTGATGTTGTAAATACTTTTAAAAAATGTAACTTAAATATTTCAGGGTTTTTGAGAAGTTAAAAGTGAAGTAAATAGATCTTTATTAATTAAAAACATAATTTTTTGAGAATCAAGGACCACACCATTTTTTTAGATTATAATGTTTTATGTGTATAACAATTTTATTTTTAAGCATATAAGAATATATTTTTCTTTGTTGACTAAAATTTTGTGGAAAATGTTTAAGTAAAAATAACTAAAATTAATATATTTTTTCTAATTAGGGAAATTCATCTGTTCCTGATATTACACCTGTAAATGATTTTCATGAAGTTAGTGATGGAGCTGCTATAGCAGCTTTAATATCATTTTATTGTCCAGATGAGTTACCTTGGCAACACATAACAAGTTCTAAAGCTCCAACATCATCAGACTGCATAAAAAATTTTAGCCTTATTAATGAATTTTGCGATAATAGTTTACCATTTAGTATTTTTCACATGAGACCACAAGATGTATATTACATTAGAGGGTATTTCAAAATTATTATAAAATATATTGTTTTTATTTTATTTTTATACATATTTGTATTATTTTTAGATCAATGAAAGTTAATTTAATCGCCTTTTTTGCTGACTTATTTAATGTATTGGAAATTCATCCTGCTAAATGTGTTAGTTTCAATCAAGGTAGCAGTGAATTAGCTGATGGTAAGTTATTCTTTTGAATAACAATTACATCAATTCTTGTGAACATCAGTCAAAAATTATGATTGAGCAATTAGAAATTATGTCCTATTTGTTGTATTTCATAAATTTGTATTATTGGAAAGGATAAAATTAATTTTAAATGTTTTTGAGATTACAACACTTTCTATATATCATTATAGTGTGATTCTAATAATTATAGTATCATTAAGCTTAAAATTGTTTTACAAATTTTTCATTACCTAATTTTGTGATTAAATAATTAAATATAATATTAGCTTATATTTGTTTTATAATTAATATTAATATTAAAAGTTCTCTTAAAATCAATTTTCTTATATAAAAATGGTTTACATTTTAATGTAAATTATTTATTTACTCTAAAACTACTTCCATAATTTTTAAAATGTACAATTAACGCAAAATTCCAACAATTTATCTAGACTAAATTTAAGTTATCTAAAAATCTAAAAAAGAAATTTAAAAATACTTGGTAAAAATATATTTTTTTATATTTTGATTTCATGATGGTGAAATCATAATATTACTTTATAAAGTATATAAAATATACAAATTATTTTGGTAGATAAAATTTCATTTTTGTATTTGAAGTTTCCAAAACTACTACAGAATTTTTTTTTTTTTGTTTACTCATAATAATAGCTTATCCAAGAAATAGTCAAGGTGTTGCACATAAACGCTTATTACCTCAAGCAATTTCTATTATACCTGATCTCCGAAGTAATTTGGACTCGCATTCGACAGGGTTTACAGGTACCATCTTAAAATTTCGAGTGCTACACACTATGTCACAATTTTTTTTAATGCTTCTTCTTTAAATTCAATTTCACTGCTAAGTGTTTGTGTTTTGTGTTGTCACTGAATTAATATATTTTATGATGTATTGTACTTTAATTTATTATTATTGAATAATGTAGGCATAAAATTCAATGTTTAAAATAATATTTATTTTGATCATTTTTGCTATTCATCATGTTTTGTTGTTTTAAGTATTAAAGTGGAAATTATCCATAACATGAATTTAAGTAACTTTTTTTAGTAATTATATTCAGTTAATCACTTATATTTTGGTATTCTTAAATTTTGCATAATATTTCAAGATCTTTATTTTGCATGTTACCATCTGTGTCTATGCTTATGTGTGGCTTATTTTTTGACTATGTTTTATATTTTTAGCAACAGAAATTTAATTCAAATGTGTATTAGATGAGGTTAATAAAGCAAATAGGTCATGGTATGATTTGTCTTAATTAATGTTATAATTCATTTACTCATAATTTTTGTTTATTTGTAGTTACAGTATTTAATTTATTTTCTAATTTTCTTTTTTTTTTAGATTATTCTTTTTACTGTGGCTCATTTTATTATCATAAAAATTCTAAATGACTAGTTGATAATAATTTTTAATTTATTAAAATTTAATGAGAACAATTTAAAGGTTTATATTTCCCTTATCATTTGGTGACTTGTATTTATAACTTTTAAATAAAATCTTATTAGAAGGGAAAGTAACAAACGAATGCATTGTGGTGCGGATATTTAAAGGTAAAGGTGACATACAGGAGTGTGGAAATTATAGGAGCATAAAGCTTATGAGTCATAGTATGAAAATTTGGGAAAGGGTAATAGATAAGAGAATAAAAAATGATACATCGGTATCTAAAAACCAGTTTGGATTTATGCCTGGTAAGTCAACAATGGAACCAGTATTTTGTGTGAGACAACTTATAAAAAATTTAGGGACAAGAAGAAAAAACTGTGTATGGTATTTAAAGATTTGGAGAAAGCGTATGACAGAGTACCGAGAGAGGTTTTAAATTAATGAGAAAAGAAGTTCTGAAAGGTACATTAATATAATAGAAGATATTTACGATGGCACTTGTACCAGGTTAAAAGGGGTAGGAGGAGTAACAGAAGGTTTTCGGGTAAGAGTAGGGTGCACCAAGGTTTTGTTTTAAGCACTTACTTATACTCCATAGTGATGGATGATTTTACTAGAGAAATAGTGTTAATAGGAGAAAATGGAGAGGAAATTAATCAAAGGCTAGAGGTGTGGAGATCAGCTCTTGAAGAAAAAGGTTTAAGAATAAGTAGAAGTAAAACAGAGTATGTTAGCTGTAAGATAAGTTATAGAAATGAATGTTGAAGTAAGAAGAGATAGAGGAAGACCAAAAAAGATATGGAGAGATGCTATTGAATGTGATTTGAGGACAGCTGATATGAGCGTAGATGATGTGGGAGATCATGTCAAGTGGAAGTTTGGGATAAGGGTGGCGGCCGACCTCAAGTACTTGGGATTAAGGCGAGTAAGAAAATTTGGTGACTTGTATTATAAAAATATGATATCATATTTTGATACTGTAAAACAATCAAGTTATTAATTTTCTTACTTTCAACTAAGTATTATAATTTTTATCATATTTTAATTTGTTACACGTAATTTTATTTTAATAAAACTAAAGTCACTCTTTTGATATCAGACTCGAAATAGAAATACAGAACTTGATTACAATTTTTATAATAAAGTGATAACTAATTTTTAATAAGCATTACGTTATTATCTTGATTATAACTAAATATAAGCTTTTAATAATGTACAAAAATATTTATTAATTATGAATCAAACAACATCAACTCTTTACTGAATTTATTAGTTTTCATCTAAGTTTTTATCAATTATATTCAATAAAATCATCACCATTAATTCGGGCAAGGAAAATTTTCATTAAAAATATTCTATACTTATAACCTATACTTAGTGTTTAAAGATTTTCATATTTCTATTCTTCTCTGATAGGCTTAGACCAATATTTGAAAAATAAAGTTAAAATTTGTACAAATTTGAAAATAATTTTGAAATTTAATCATAATACAATAATAAGAGATTATAAAATATATATAATTAACGTGGAATTATAATAATGAATATATTTAGTAGATCAAAAGTTATAGAATTTTTCAGAACTTGGTGTACAATATGTATTTTTATAAATTTAATGTGTATATAAATGACTTAAGTGATGAAATAATTAAGATTACTTTTTTTATTATTTAAAACCAATTTATGACTATTATCATGCTTGATTTAAAAATTACTTTAATCTTCATGTATTTCAATAATAATAAAAAGATTAATTATTCAATTGTTGGTTAAACATTTAATAATAATAATTTAATTAAAACAAATTTTTTTTTTTGTAAAATATATAGTTTATTAATGTATTTTTTTATTGAATAGTAATTACAATAGACGAGATAGTGAAATAGCTGTAACCTGTAGAATCAAAATAATATTGCTATATAATCATTAAGCATTTTTATAAAACTATTCACTGATTTCTGAATGTTTTGTGTTATAATTAGTATAATTTATGTATCAATATATTAAAGATTTAGTTTACAAATTTGTTCTACCATTTAATGACATTTATACACAGTTGTTAATGTATGATATTTTTATCTTTAGGCACAGCACACAATACCATTAAAAAAGTTTCCAATGTAGCATCACCATTAATAGAAGTAAAAAAGAATGGGCGGTACAGTACATTATTTTCACATCATTAATCAAATACTAGGTTATATATTCATAATTTTTTTATTTTGTTATTATTAATTTTTTTAGTGTCAATAATGAGGAACAATTTGTTGTGCATCGCAACCGATCAGTGCTTACATTAAATTCTATGTTGAATTCAAGTAATGGTGAAGCTAGTAATGATATGGCTGCTGGAAAGCCAACCCATTGGGAGGACACTAGAAAACAGAGTTATGCTGGTAGAAGATCAAGGAGAAATTCATTCTCTGAAGATTCACAGGTAAATACTATATAAATGTGTAAATAAGTTCTTTAAATTGTATTTTTTTCTTATGCATTTGTACTAATTAAATAATTAATCATTTTTAGTTAACTGTTGAAAATTTTGGTGGATCTCAGGATAACTTGCACTTTATTGGTCGAAATCCTGATAAAGAACCTGCAGTTCATGTAGTACATAGAGATAGCATTACTAATAAAATTACTAATTCATATAATCAAGAAAATGACAGTTCAGGTGTACAAAATTTACTACAGCATTCTAATACTAGTCCAGGTAAGAAAAAATAAGAATTAAAATTTTTAATTATTCATTTTTATTATCAAATACTAAAAATAATTTCAGCAATGTCACGGGTTTCAAGTGATGCATCTAATAATAGTCAAGGTCTCCAGCGAATGCTCTATGATAGTTTTGATGATGTTGAGTCAGTTATTCATCAACCAATGCCTACTCTTAAACGCAGTTTATCATATGTTGACACAACTCAATCAAATCATCCTTCTAGTACTACTACTTGGTTACAACAGAGTTCTTCGTCAGCAGCTCATAGTGAACATGGTAATATTTTATTATTTATTACTGGAATTTAAAATATTTTTCTAAATTATTCTATAATTTTTAGGTGATGACTCTGAAAGCGATGGTTCTATTATGAGTTCACAATTACTCAATTTAAAATTAAAACTTGAAGAAAAAAGACGACAGATTGAAAATGACAAACGTAAAATTAAATCATTAATGAATCAACAAAAACAGCAAGTTGGAAAGGCTGCATTTTTACAAGCAGTTGCTAGAGTATTTAAAATAAAAAATTTGAATAAGCTAGCTAATTTTTAATTTAAAATTAATTGAATTAGGGTAAAAATGGTGGAAGAAATCTTCAAAGTCCTGATTCAAATTATAGCAGAATCATGTATGATGGAAATATTTCACCTTCTTCTGTTAAAACTGCTCAGCATTCCTTTTCTTTTCAAGTAATCATTTTCCATATATTATCTTGAAAATAGCTAAAAGAAATTTTAATGATATCTATTAACTATTAGGACAATGGCTTAGAAAGTAAATGGTCGGACCGTATGAGTAGTCCATTTCAAGATGAACATAAAACTCCAGACCTAGATCATATTAATATTGAAGAATACAATGCTCTTTCTGAGTAAGTAAATGTTGTTTTAAATTTAAAAAAAAAAACCCAGTACAAGGGGGTCGCGGCACAACGGTGACGAGGCATAGTTGGATTAAGTATAATGATATCTGACTGTGATTAAAATCACTATCAAAAAAAAAACTCATCAATGCAAATCATTAGATAGTGTTTAATTTTAAAAAATTGATGCATTATTCCGAAAGCTACATGATCTGCTAGTTCCTTATTAATATCCAGATTAAGATAAAGTATGTCAAATGAAAAAGGAATTATTAAAAAATATTATTTCTCATAAAAAAATTGTGTTGATCCATACACTTTTCAATAAGTTATAGCATTATAAAGTTAAAAATTAAAAAAATAAAATCGAGAATTTTTACACAAAAATAGCATTCAATAGCCATTTTCACCATGAAGACAAAATAAAGTCCAAAATTTTTTTTTTTCCATAATAGAGTATATTACATTAGCTTTAATTTAAGATATATATAAAAGTGTCAGTATTTCCGGAACACTTTCAAAAGTTAATTTTTTGTGAAAAAGTTGTCATTTTGAATCCCCCCCTGTGGGCTGGTAAAGGGTTAAATTTATAAAAAAAATATACCAAATGATAGGTAAAGACATCAAGCATCTATATAGCGTTTTTTTAACTACGGCAGCCGTTTGCATGCAGAAGATAAAGTGTCGGGACAAATTTTTTTTTCATTTTATAGTACATGACATAAGCTTTAATTTGATATATGTTTAAAAGACGCAGTATTTCCGGAACATTTTCAAAAATTAAGTTGAAAAATTTAGTTTTTGTACATAAAAAATATCTAAGGTTTTAGTATAAAAAAAAAAATTATGTTGATTTGTTGATTTTTGAAAAATTTATGGAAGTTTTAAGTAAAAAAAATTGAAAAAATTTCGAAAATTAGCGATTTTAAAATTTGTAATTATTTTGGAGGTTTCCCCCATTTACGGGGAACGAGGGAAATTTTTTCAATTTTTAAGTGTAATATCTTCGAGTAGATACGATTTGTGATCTTTTGACGTATCATTGAAAGAAATCGGTTCGGTGAGAGCTGAGTAAAAGTGGTAACAGACACAAAAAAAAAAAAACACATCATAGTAAAAATAATACCTTCTCAGCTTCGCATCGAAGCTAACACTAATATTTTTTTTTAAATAGAATACATTCAAATTACCAAGAACTGCAAGCTGATCTTCAAAGTCTTACCAACCAACAAAGTCAACTTCAACATAATAGTTTGCAAGCAGAAATGATGCAGCATTATCCAGGGATGCAGGCAGTTCATCAAGTCTATCAAAACTCTCATTCAATACAGCAGCCACAAAATTATATGATCAATCGTCAACAAATAACAAATGGACAAATAATTCAACATTTAGATCATAACAATTCAGAAAATATAGGTAGTCATCAATGGCGCAGTTTAATGAATCATAGTCAACCACCAATAAATATGTATAATAATTACAATCAATCTCAATTCCAACATCAACAGCAATATATTAATCAGATACCACATATAGCTTCTAATACAATACCTAACACCAATGTTTATTCATCAGTAAATAACCATTATGTGACTCAAGAATCTTTTGATCAAATGGGTACAATTAAACAAGAACCTCAGTCACAACAATTTTTTTTGCATAACAATCATCAAGAGTCTCAACAAAAAATTCGAAAAAGTTGGGAAATATCATCAACAACACAACCTCAAACTTTTACTCAAGAACCTCAAAATATTTGGAATGGCAGGTAGTTAATTAATTAATTATAATCAATTTATTCAATTTGTTTTTACTGTAATAGAAATAAATAAATTATAATATTCATTACATTTTTAGTCGAACAGTGCCAAAGTCATCACAGCCATCTTCTCTAAGTAGTTCTCCTCGTCAAAAGTCTGAATTTACAATGTTTAGTAGATCTGGTGTGAAAACAAGTCCTTCTTCACCAGTTCCTCCGCCTCGTCGTAATTCAAATCATGTAGTTAACCATGCACCATTACCCACCCCATCTATTGATGATATGCAACCACAGAGTATTTCTTTTATAGGTAAATAAAAAAATATATATACTTTTTAAGAGTTTTAATTTAAATAACTTTTTTATTAAAGCCGGTAACAATACACCAAAGAAAAATCACGATCTTTGTGAAAGCCTTAATAGAATTCAAATTACTTCTGGACATAAGACCTATAGAATACCATCTCCCACCAAATTACATATGCCCATCAATCAAAATTCATTTAATGGAAATGATAATCAATCTTCATCTAAACCTAGTCAAGATACAAATACTAACACTGATAAAGGATTTTATGTATCATTTGAAGATGAAGATGCACCTAAAAGACCAAAACCTCCACTTAGAACCAAGAAAATTATGTCTAAGGTATATATTTTATAATGAGTAGTTCATAAATTTTTATAAGTTTATTTCTTACAAAGTAATTTATTTGACTTTATTCATTTTTCTATATTTTCTAGGAGCGAAATTTAACTCAAACTGTAAACAATTCTGTATCTTTAAGTAATTTAGACATTTCACCTAAACCTGTTACACTATCATCATTAAACAATCCTAAACCAAAAAGTTTGTCTACTCCTGCTAAAACTATATTAGAAACAACTGTTATTCAAAACTCAAATCATTATGTCAATCAACCTAAAACTTCTACTGGAATGGAATTAATAATTGAAAATTCTAAACCAGATCCAGTAAAAAAAAAAAAATTTATATTTTTATTAATTATATATAAACAGGAATTCCATATTGCAGGTAACTATTGATGAAATGGAAAAAAAGAAAGAGCGTATACTTCTTTTATCTTTACAAAGAAGGCAACAGCAAGAAGAAATGAAAAATAGAAAAGAAATAGAAGCTCAAAAGAAAAAAGAAGAAGAAAAAATTAAAGAAGAAATAAAGCAGCGAAAAAAAGAAGAAGAAAAACAAAGAAGAGCTATGATATTAGAACAACATAGAGTGAAAAAAGCAATTGAAGAAGCTGAAAGAGAAGTAAATAATATCAATAAAATATTAAATGTTGGTCTATAGTTACTTTTTATATAAGAAATCAATTTTAATTCATCCATTAATTTTTAAGAGTTCAACTTTGAAAAAATATTTATTATATTTCTCTTATAATGTACAAATTTAAATTAATATTTATGCTTAAAATGACTAAAAATATCATATTAAATTCAATATTTCTTTAAAAATTGCATGCTTCTTTTAAGGAACACATATTATTTTTAATTATAATGTATATTTTCACTTTTTATTTTTACACATATTCTATATATAAGATATAATAATTAGAGAACTGGAGAAGAGTTTTATAATTGCCAAATTTTTCTCTTTAAAAATTTTGATTTTCTTAGACCTTATTTTGATTTGTTGGTCAAAATTCATACAATTTTATATTACTAGGGCAAAATTATTGATAAAGAATTGTTAAATTCTTTGAAAATTAACAATAATCATTCAATGGGTGGTCCACCAAGATTACGAAGTAAAATGCAAAGTGGACGACCTCGGCCAAAAACAATACATGTTGATAGAAGTGATACTACAGATGGTACATTAACACCATCTCGCGGAAAAAAGGGATCAATTACAAATTTAGCTGGTTAGTAATTTTGTAAAGAAAGTTGTAAAAATATCTATAGTTGTATGTCAAAAAAACTAGTTCATAACAAAATAATAATTTTAAAGAGACAACAAAAATCTACTTTCATTTATTAACTTAATATTATTATTTTAAATGTTTCTAAAAACTTATGTTAAGAAAATTTTTTTTCTTAGTAAAAAAATTACTTATTTTAGAAAGAGGGAAAAAAATTATATGAGTGGATGTAATATATCACAGATTGATAATTTAATGTGAAAGAGAGAGAGTTTAAAGCAAGTAAAACATTGTAAAATTATCCCAGGCGAGATTTTAACTACACAACATAGACTGATGGCAATAAAGTTGTGGTAAGAGAGTATACAAAAAAAAAACACAAGTAGAGAATCAAGGAACCGTTGGTGATAATTGAAAGAGGAAGTTTTTAAAGACTGTAAAAGAGAGAACGGCTTGGAATGTCGAGGGAAACATAAATGATTTACTAGTTGTGTAAAGAATACTACAAAGGAGATTGTTGATGTTTAAGTAGAATGTCAGGAAACAAGGAAACCTGGTGATAGGATGAGGAATGTCAGAAAATCATAGAAAGTAAGAAAAAGCAGTTCAATGTATGGTAAAAGAGCAAAATGAGAGAAGATTGGATGGAGTACAAACACCTGTGCAAAGAAGCCTAGTCTATAGTAAGGTGAAATTTATGAGATATAATGAGTGATATAATAAATAAAGAAGTCTATATACTTGCAAAAGTTAGAAAAAAAAAGTCTGTGTTTGCGATAAGAGAATTTCAATGAGGCTAAAAGGTTCTCTGCAAAATCATTGCAGAGTTCAAAACGTTAACTCAAAACTGATGACATATATATATATATATATAAATATTCTAAATAAAGAAAAAATATTTTTATAATGTTAGTAATTGAGTGATCATGATAATTGAAATGATACACTTTGTATATAATAATATATTACAACCTAAACAATTAATAATCTGATTCTTGCATTTTTTTTAACTGCACAATAAATAAACCTTCCTTTTTTTTAATAATTTTTTTTTTACTGTGACAATAGCCTTGAACTCACCAATTAGGAGAGATTATTATCGTGGATCACAAGACTGCTTAGCTGAAACACGTCGCACATCATCATCTTCTCTTTATTCAGGTAAATTATTAATTTATCAGTAAAAAAATTTTAAACTCTTTATCATCAAGTGATAAAACTATGTATTAGCTATTATTATACAATATTTATTGTTTAGATGTTAATGATGACAGCAAACTTACTACTCCACGAACATTAGACCGGCATGGATCTTATAAAAGCTCTAGAGGTTAGTAAAACCTTTCATTGGAGTATATTTTTAATAGTCTATTTCACTGCTTATAACTATATGTGTTCATACAGTCTTTGTCAAAATCAATATTTTATTTTTCATTATTTAGGATTCTATAATGTATATAGTGTAAACAAGTTTTAACTTAATTAAATATTAGCTATAGGAAATATTCATAAGTATACATTTATTTACTATTATTTTAATAAAATATTAAATTAAAATAAACTTTAAATAAATTTAAAACAAATTTTTATTAAATATTCATAGATAACTCATACAAAAATATTCATAAAAATTTTTGAAAACTTAAATATTTTGTTGTTCTTAAAATTTAAAATCAGTCTATTTTAAAAGATTTTTGGTAGAAATTTGGTGGACATTTTTACAGATTCTTCTTTGGACCGAACAAAACGTAAAACAAATTTTGGATACTACAATAGTGCACCCCGTAAATCAAATTCTCTGATGAATTTGTATGGTAAGATGACTATGAAAAAAAAGTCGGTGAAGGTGCTAATTCACGCATGAAATTGTTTACAAATTAAAATATAGATATCAGTTTTCTGGTGGTGGAAATTAAATTATTAGGTTTTATTCAATACATTTGACCTAAATTTTATTTTAAAGTATAAATTAAGTTTTAAATACTGTTCTGATGTTTAAAACTTGTTATAGAGTTTGTAATGTTAGCACAATACAGAAGACACAAACATTTTTGTAAATATTCTAAATAATACATCAATCCATAAAAGCTTTAACACATTTTTATTAAAAATAGCTTAAATTACCTAATTATTTTATTATTTTATTCAGTGGAAGATTTTAAAGTAAAATATTAGTCGGCAAACTTAAACCAGGAGCCTCAATATCAAGAGCTCAAACTCTTAAATCTTAATCTTTATTTATTATCATAACTAGGAAGACTAACGCCTAAATTAAACTGCCATACTAAATAGAAAACTTGTTCTATTAACAATTACTCATTTAGATTTAAAAGCAAATATGCTTTGAGTTTAATTTCTTATATGTTATCATTCCACAAATTTTAATTCACATTTCATTTTTATTTTTCTTCTCGTTTAGAAATGGAGTAACAAAATTAAATTATATTTTTATTTTTACATTTTTATTATACACTGTGTTTTATTTTTAACTCCTTTATCATATTATTGAATGATTAATAGAGTATTTAAATATAGATAATATATAACATATAGTTCTATATAAATAGAGAGCTGACAGTATTCTAAATACATGTACTGGTATTTGTTATTAACTTCAATAATGATTTTTCTTTGATATACTGAAAATATTATTATTTGTGGTAAATACTTCAACATTTATCGATAATTATTGTTTTTATCAACATATACTGTTTTTTCAAATATTAATTATCATTTTATCAATTGTTATAATTTCATTAATGTTACCATTTTTAATGGATGTTAAGACATCAGACGCTACTCTCCAATTCAACCACCCGCACTTAATCCTGTGTTTTACATCCTCATCAATATCACCGCTCTTTTGCATAACTGAACCTAAATACTTAAAACTTTCCACCTCTCCAATCACGTCCTCGCCTATTGTCAATGATCTCCTCATTTCACCTACCTCGTGTTCTCTTTTGTCAAATTCGTTCTCTATATACTCTGTCTTACTTCTACTTATTCTTAAACCCATTTCTTCAAGAGCTGATCTCCACACCTCTAGCCTTTGATTAATTTCCTCCCCATTAACACTATTTCTCTAGTAATTTCATCCATCACTATAGAGTATAAGTAAGTGCTTAAAGCAGAACCTTGGTGCATCCTACTCTTACCCGAAAACCTTCTGATATTCCTCCTATGCTTTTTCATCAGCAACTTATGATAATTTTATATAATTTCATGATCATCATATTATTTGATTGTTATATTTTTGTTGATTTTCGACAAATTACCAATAATAAAATATGAAAATTTTTCTTTATTTTATAATTTATGAATTAAATTTAATTATCCAAAAAGACACATGCTAATTAATTCAATTTTTTTTTTTTTTTTTTTAAGCTTCTACAGGCCATTAAGGCCTTTCGCTGCTTCTACCAAACCCCTCCATCGGTCTCTATTGTCTGCATCCTCAATTCTTGCCGTTTCATCTACTTGAATTAAATCTTTCTTTATCCGATCCAGCCAACGCTGACGTGGTCTTCCTCTGGGGCGTGTTTTATTTAGTTTAGATACCAAAACTTGTCTCATTAGACTGTCCTTATCTCGCCATATGTGTCCGGCCCATTCCAATCTTTTTGATACAAGATATTTTTGGATATTTGGTCCGTTAAAGATTCTTTCAATATCTGCATTAGTTCTCCTTTCATATTGACCTGTTTCCGTATTATATATGGGACCATATATTCTTCTAAGAACCTTTCGCTCAAATGTTAGTAGCTTTGTCTCGTCCCCTTTAGTTGTTGACCACGTTTCACAACCATACATTACTATGGGCCGTAAGTAGGAAATATATAGCTTTCTCTTAGTTTCTCTGGAGAGAAGTTTAGAACTGAATATTTTGCTCATTGCATAATATCCTCGATTTGCCGCATTCAGCCTCAACCTTATTTCGTTATGCATATCATTCCTATTATTCAAATTAACCCCCAAGTATTTAAAGTCTTCTACTTGCTCAAATGTATATTCATCTACGGAGAGATTCTGTAAAATTCTTGGACGCCTGCTCATGATCATATATTTTGTCTTGCTCTCATTTATATTGAGGCCCATTCTTTTACTAGACTTAATTAATTTTTTTGTACTTTCTTCTACTTCGACTTGAGAGTCTCCAAGAATGACAATGTACATCTTTTCCTGCAATTTTTAGTAGTTCAGAATTTATGTTATCATCCCCTGGAGATTTATTATTCTTTAGTGATTTAATGATTATTTCAATCTCCTCGATACTTGGTGCTAGAAGTTCAGGTTCTGCTGTATGATACACTAATTCTTCGTACTTTTCATTATTGTTACTTCCGATGCGGTTATTTTTGTTATTTAGGAGTTCTTCGAAAAATTCTTGAAATTTGATTACAATCTCGCTAGGTTCTGAAATTATATTACCACTTTTGTCTGTGATGAAATTAATACGTGCTTTAAATCCTTCCTTAACCGACCTACACTTCTTGAAAAACAGTCTCGGTTCTTTCTTATATAATTCGATATCTTCTAAAACTTTTTTTTCCATTGAGCGTTTCTGTTGTCTAATTACTTTGTTGGCTACAGTTCTAAGCTTTGAGTATTCATTAATGTTTTCTGGTGTAGGATTCAGTATCATATTTTGTCTAGCTAAACTTCGCTTGTTAATCGCAACTTGGCACTCCAAGTTATACCAATGATTTTTATTTTGTTTAATGTGCTTACCTCGAAATCTCTCAGCAGCTTTTGTTAGAGATTCTTTTGTCTTTGACCACAATGTTATGTTATCCGATTCATGTTCTGCAAGATTATATTTTCTGAGATTTTCAGATATCTCTCTTTGGTATGTATCTATCTCCTTTGAATTCCTAATTTTTTCTATGTCAAGTTTGTTATTCTTTCCTGTATGTATCTTACTCCTCCATTTTACTGATAGCTTTAGTGCGAACGTTGCAACAACTAAATAATGGTCTGTATCTCCATCGGCTCCTCTGTAACTTCTAATGTTACGAATTGACGTTTTGTGCCTCTTGTCTATGATGACATGGTCAATTTGACTTTTTGTTTTCCCATCTGGAGCAGACCATGTATGTTTATAAATATTTTTTCTTGGGAAATAAGTGCTGCTAATTATGAGGTCTTTTGAAGAGCAAAAATCAACTATTTTGTGACCATTGTCATTTGTGGTAGCATGCCAGCTCTCTTTACCGATCGTTTGTCCAAAGGATGTTTCTCTACCAACTTGAGCATTTAAATCCCCAACAATTAACCTAATACAATTTTTAGGCAATGCGTCAAAAGTTCTTTCTAAAGTATCATAGAAACTATTTTTTTCCTCGTCGTCTGCATTTTCAGTCGGCGCATAGCAGTTCAATATTATTAAATCTAGTTTCTGGTGAGATATTCGTAGGTAGCAGATGCGTTCATTCACTGGCACAAATGTTTTAACTTGAGTCATCACTGCTTTATCAATCACAAAACCAACTCCTTTCTCGTGTCTACCAGTTTGTAGACCGCTGTAGAATATTATTGAGTTGCCACTTTGTATATTACCACTATTAAGCCATCGAACCTCCTGTATGGCTACTATGGGGATTTTGTATCTAGTGATTTCATCAATAATACATTTCAAGGCGCCTGGTTTAAATAAAGTTCTTATATTCCAAGTTCCAATCCGTAACTCCAAATTTTTCCGGTTCCTATTTCCATTCCGTGATCCATTTTTATCCACAATCCGAGGCTTTGGTTGAAGTTTCTTAACAAGAGTTTTGTTTTTAAAGAGGACGGGTTGTTAGCCCGTCGCTCAAACCCCCAACCTGGAGGACCAGTTTGAGCCAACTAACTAAAGTCAGCCCATAGCTCGGGGCCCCGGGTCCGCTAAGCCCGTAGCACTAAATACATAGTGCCCCCCTGGGGGAAATTCAATTAGTATTGCAAATATGTCAGAGTTACCTTTTGGAATAGAACATAAGTAATACTATATTTTCCTAAAATTAGTTTGCTTCTTAAAAATATTATAATGGAGTTAATAATATTAACTTAACCTATATTTTATATAAAATATTAATTAATAATTAAACAATTTTTTAATTACTATATAAATATTACAAATGAGTCAGTTGTCTTGCTGTAAAAAATAAACTTACATAATATATAAACATTATTTTCAAACTGGATTGGCATTATTAATATTATTATACAATTATACATTTAAAATCAATGTTAATATTGAAAAATTGATAAAAAAAAATTTCAAGCTATTACTTAACACTAGCAACTTTCATTAACTTTAAAATCTTATTTCATTTCTTTTGACTTATCAAAAATAATCAATCTATATTATTATCAATTTTAATCTATTAGCTTCTTTTAACACTATTTTAATGAATGTTTAATTCTAGGTGGATCAAGTTGTGATCAAGATAGTCTACTATACCGTTATGGTGATACAGATTCAGGATTAGGACGTGCTACACCACCTAGAAGAGCAATGTCACCATCAGGTCCGGGATCACTGCCTATACGTCGTAAATTTGATGATACTGCAAGTGAAGCTGGTAGTGACTATAGTGGTCCTCGGTATGAGTTGTAACAAATAATTTATTTCATAAATTTTTCTAATTTTTTATCGATTTTAGGCTTTACAAACAACCAGTGACTAAATCCAATCGAGGTATTATTTTAAACGCAGTTGAATATTGTGTTTTTCCGGGTGTAGTTAATCGAGAATCAAAAAAAAGGGTATTAGAAGAAATTAATAGATCTGAGGCCAGGCATTTCCTTGTACTATTTAGAGATACAGGTTGTCAATTTCGAGCACTTTATCTTTACTATCCAGAAACTGAAGAAGTGATGAAATTGTATGGTACTGGACCACGGGTGGTCACTGATCGTATGTTTGACAAGTTTTTCAAGTAAGGATTCATTTTTTTATTTACAATTGGGAAAAAAGGAAATATGGACTCTCGCTAATAGTATTAAGGCGTGGTCATTTAGAGTCACGTCAAAAAATATTGGGGAATGTAGTGAAAAATCTAAAATCTTTTCTTCCAAATATTCAAACTTGAACTTTTAATTTATTTTATATTGTATGATAAAACAACATAATTCAATTTTTATATTTATACAGGTATAATTCTGGTGGAAAATGTTTTTCCCAAGTGCATACAAAACATTTGACTGTCACAATCGATGCTTTCACTATACATAATAGCTTATGGCAAGGTAAAAAAGTAAATTACCCAAACAAAAAAGACATGACGCTAGTCGTTTGAAAAAAACAAACAATAAATGGGTTTTCGCCCTAGTTATGTAGAAGTAGTAATATTTATATATATTTATATATTTGGTTTATGCATATATATATAATATATATATATACATGAGAAATATATTTCTTAACAATTTTTGTTTAACAAGTCTTTAACTTTACACTCGGTTATAAGTATCTAGTATTAATATTTAATGTAATTAATATTAGTAATTATGATAACTAAAAAAAAATCTATTAATCCTCCTTGGATTAATGTTGTTAAAAAGTATTTTTTGTGTGCATTTGCAGCCTCATTTGTATTATTAATTGTTGTTTAATTAAGTTCAATTTATTTTTATTCTATATGTCCATTGTGATTTATTTAACTTATTCTTAAAAACATTAACCAATGTTTGCATGTATTTTACTTAAACTACAAATGAATCATTCTTGTTAATATTTATATTATTATGAATGTTGAAATAATATATTATACATAAAACATTTTAATTAATAAATCACTAAACAATTTCTTTTATCCCCCACCCTTTTTTTTTACTATCAACATTTAAATGTTTGAAAATCAACATTTTAACTTAAATTACAATACATTTTTATTTAAAAATTTAATTATGAATTTTAAATCTTATATCATACTTTTATAAAATCGAATATCATTACATAATGTCATGATACTCCATGTTGTATAATTTTTACCTACTGTTGCTTTATACTTTCTACAACATAACTTATGAAAAATATATTGTAATTAACTTTGAGCGAAACAGATCAATAAAAATAGGTGTTGACTTTGCTTATTACTCTAGCTTTTATAATTAAAGTTCAAATCAAGAACCTTATATTTCTAATATAAATTAATTTTGAAGAAAGTTGACAAATAAGCATTTAGTATGATTGTTACAAAATAGTAATTTTAAATAATTACTAAATAAGTAAAATTTGTATTGACCAAATCAACATATATTTATTATCAAAATAAAATATTGAATAATTCTTAGTACTCGTCATATTAGATCTTACTAATTTCTTACTACTATTATTTATATTTTATTTATTATTTTTGTAAACATATTTTTTTATTATTATTTTTACATATAGGATCTATTAACATTGTGCCAATTTGTAAACAACATAATTTTTTATTATTATTTTAATTTTTATTATTATATCTTAGGTCTATTTCTAATTTTATATAATTTTTGCCGTTACTACTTTTCTTAAAAATTCACTGAGCCACAAAATATATTGTATTTTACCTTTTGTTATTGCATGATTATTATATAGTATACTTAATTTGTATAAAAATTCAATTTTGACTTAATTTATTATTGTTTTTATTTAGTATTATTTATAAAATAATACAATGTATATTTATTAAAATGTTTATTTATATTTCAAATTTTATTGGCCATGTTCAAATATTAATAACATACAAAAATTGTACTATGTATTATATAATTTATAATTGTACTATAAATGGCATGTAACATATTAATATTTGTATTAGTATGTTTTCTAATTAAACTTTATTATTCTCAATTTTGTTCACTAAAAACTATTAACAGCCTTACACTGAAAACAAAATATACTATGTATTGTTAACTTACAATTAAAATGTGATAATATACTAAGCTTTTTTTCTTGTAAATTATTTTTATTATTTAAAATTATCATTAAATATATTGGATACCTAATATCAAAAACAAATATGTAATTTTCATTTATGTATATGAATTAATTACAAAATTGTGTCTAAAAGTTATTTAATGATTAAAAAGAACTAAGTTTGAAAAAAGAACATGTCTGGTTTTAATACTAGCCACCTAATATTTTATATACTAAATTGGAATAAAGATTTACTTAAAATTGTATTACAAACATTTCTTTGCATATATTACATTCAATTTATATATATAATATATATATTATATATGTAAATATAATTTTAAAATTTTACATAAATAAAAAATCTTTTTTCCTCGTCTTGGTCTCAACTACTTGGGATCAAGCCATACGCCTAAGTTTTGTTCAGAACTCTTCATACTTTTTAACAAAAATTTTACACCATATGTCAATCTGACGCAACCTCGTTAGTCGCCTCTTACTACTAGTAGAGAGGCCATGGAAGTATTCTTATCCCCTATCCGCCGGGACATTGCAAATATTAAATACTTGTTAAATTATTCAATAAAAAAATCACTTATGGCTAGTATTATTTAAAATTAAAATAATATTAAAAATATGAATTTAACACTAAAAATCATTAAACACATATTTAAGTTGTTTAGCATTGAAAATGGTAACATTATTCTCAAAATATGTATTTGGGATTTTTTAGTAATTTCTGAGACTTTAGTTAAATAGTTTTAATATAATTTTTATTTTAAATTTATTAAGTTATTTGCCTAAAAATTTTTTGTTTAAATTGTATTATTTTAGTTTAATGGCCAACTTTTCAAACAAATAATTGTTTGAACAATTTTTTTTTTTTTTTTAATTTTTGTAATACACTTCAAGTTAAAAATTGTGAGACCTTTCAAAAATTGAGTTGAAAAAAAATTATTTACATGCACAGGTGCAGGCCTTTTTCAAACTCTTCTTTTACTTAGGATTTTCATTGGATTTTTATAAAAAGTTTTCACAAAAGAAACTTGTTTTTAGTAACTCTATTTGGATTTGAATTAAAAAAAGAAATTATAGCAGTTTCAAAATGCAAAAAAAAAAAGTTGGAAAATCTTTTTATACAGCATTTTAATTTTGAAATATTTTTTTTAATTTCTAAAATTAAAATGGTATTATATTTAATAGTATACTGTTACGTCGCTATTTAGGGGTTGAGCCTAAATGCCAGTCGACAGTATTCTAAGGGACCAACGGGGGATAGCTGGCTAGGCTATATCTACCTTAGGTACTGAAGTTTCCTATTTAATTTATATTCCCTTAGAGGAACTACCAAGGGTCGCACTACAATATATATATATAACACTTTAGGTTAACAACGATATAAATAAATATTTATTAAACAATTGAAATTTTTAATGGATAATACAACCTGCTGGACACCTAGAGATGTTATAATCCAACAGGGAGCTGACGGCGACACACACACACACTATAATATACGGGTAGCGAAGTTAAGTTAATTATCAGGCAAAAGTAGTGATCGCGAAGATGGTAAAATGTCAACTGTCGATAGGGATATCTTATTATGGCACATTGGCCGTGAATTACAAAAACTGTTTATGTATGCAGTCCGCCCTCCTGTTAGTATTGTTGTATGTCACCGTGTTAATTATATATATATATATATATATGTCTATTAAACGGTACAACGATGTTATGGGAGACAGAGATATGGGCACATGCAAATGTGATCGTATCAGCTGCTCCCCCTACACTTAAGGTCTGACCCCAGACCTTAATACAAAACAAAAGAACTTTGGCAAAATAATTCTACGTAGGAAAAGAAAAAATATTTAAAATAAAAAAATTTGGAGGGACATTAGTGTCGTGTAAGAACCTCTGGGTCTTTGATGTCCACACTCCTTAATTCACAAGCTTTTGAGCGTTGAAGGAGCTTCCTTCGTGTGGGCTCTCAATAGTCGGCTACCAAGCGGTTCCTATGAAAAGCCCGGCCCTGTCGTCGACTTCTTGAATAGTCTCGGGGCCCCAAAGAGTATTCTCCGTGTTCTCGAGGACTGTTCAGAACACTAACGCTTATTATTAAAAAAAAATTTAATAATTAAAAGGGGATGTTGGGGTACCGAATACAATTATAAGCAATACATGCACAATAAATGATAAATGTTCATGAATTAAAAAATAATAATAATTTAATGTTATTTATGACAATAAAAAAAATAAACTATGTTAACCTAATGTATGTAGCCAAAACGTTGTCAAAAATAGGTGTCTTAAATTAAGTTAAGCATGCTCGATAATAGTACTAATGTATACAGTAAAATATATGCGAAACATACACAGTGACCATCTCATAAAATTCAGTGTCCATTTATTATATATAAAAAAAAAGAAGAAATACACACAATAGGGTATTTTGATTTAGGCTGACTTGCGCCTTAGTTGCGGGACGATTGTTTTATATAAATTATACTATAATAAGGGTAGCCGTAATAACATTGGCCGTGAATTGCAAAAGTGTTTATGTGTGCAGTCCGCCCTCCTGTTAGTATTGTTGTATGTCACTGTGTTAATTATATATATATGTCTATTAAACGATGTTTGGGAGACAGAAATATGGGCACATGCAAATGTGATCGTATCAATACAATGGTATAAATCATATTTATCCAATTTTTGGCGACAATATCTTCATCTAGATTAAAATCACATTTATTTTTAACATATTAATCATTAAAATTTATCCAGTGAAAACTGAATATTTTCATTGACAGACTTAAAAATAAAACATAATGGTATAAAATATAAATAAAAAAACCCAGCACAAGGGGGTCGCGGCACAGTGGTGACGTGGTATAGATGGATCAAGTATAATGATATCTGACAGTGATTAAAATCACTATAAAAAAAAAACGCTTCGATGCAAATCTTTAGATACTGTTTAATTTTAAAAAATTGGTGGACTATTCCAAAAGCTACATGATCTGCTAGTTCATTATTAATATCCTAATTCAGATAAAGTATATCGAATGAAAGATGGATTATTAAAAAATATTATTTCTCATAAAAAAATTATGTTGATTCATACACTTTTCAATATGTTATAGCATTATAAAGTTAAAAATAAAAAAATAAAATCGAGAATTTTCACACAATAATAGCATTTGGTAGCCAATTTCACCCTGAAGACAACATAAAGTACGAAATTTTTTTTTTACATAATAAAGTAGATTACATTAGCTTTAATTTAATATATATATAAAAGTGTCAGACTTTCCGGAACACTTTCAAAATTTAAGTTGAAAAAGTCAATTTTTTGTGAAAAAGTTGTCATTTTGAATCCCCCCCTGTAGGCAGGTAAAAAGTCAGATTTATAAAAAAAATATACCAAATGATAGGTAAAGACATCATGCATCTACAAAAAAAAGAATTATATTGATCCATACATCTTTCGAGAAGTTAT